TGTTTTTCATAGATTTCCAGCTAAGTATTAATTATGCAATAATATAATATAATTCAAATAGTAGCCAACCTCTATTACAAGTTTGCAAAACTGGTTTCTAACGAGGCAGCAATATAACAAATTGTCACCTATAGCGTTGGGGAGTTTTCTACTTCAATTGCTTGGAAACTAAGCTTATTTTAGATTTCTTATTTTCCCTTATTTGAATTTTCCAAGGCATACGTTTATATTTCTATTATTTCGACCTCTGCTGTAGCTACGCAAACGTAGCACCGTTAAGATCCAAAATTCCAGTTGGGTTACGCTTTTTTTTCTCTCTTTAGAGGGGGCGTCGGTGGGCGTGGCCAGTTGAGGTGGCTGACCCGTTAGGATGCGGAAAATGCAGCGCACGAAGCACAACGAAAAGCAGAAGCGACAATAAGAAACGCGACAAGGCGACAAACAAGAAGGAAAGAAGGAATGAAAAAGAGATGGGAAGGGGGCCGTAAAATATTTGATGGCCCCAGAAGACAGCGGGCATAAAAAATATTAATAAACAAGAAATACAATAAATACAATAAATAACGAAAATATTTTGCGCGTGTGGGTTGTAAAAGCCAATAAAGCAACAACAACGCAACAAAGACAATGCACTGCTTGTATGGTATACATATATGTACGTGTGGGTGGCTGCGTGAGCAACAGGTGTGTGGGTGCCCGATTTAAGTGGAATTAGAAATTATTCACCCACAAATCTGAAATTTCATCTCGTCTTGAAAACAAGCTGCTCTGGCGAATTGTAAACAAACCAAAAAGAAAGACTAGGCGAGGAGAACAAAGCTAAGATATTGTTATAAAGCTTGTTATTATTATTTTGAGAAACAACAATGCTTTGCAGGTATTTATGATATGATCTGTAGATTTACGATCGATTTCCGCAAAGTAATATAGTAATTTCGATCTATCCTAAAGTCTTGTAAAAAAAACACTTCCTATAGAATTCATAAAAGTCATTCAACTACCAGAAATAGTTCCACCAATTAGGATCTTATGATCTTTTACAGCATAGGTTCTTAACTTTTTTTTTATCAATATTAGTACTTAAGAAAGATGTATGTATAATGTAAAAAGAAACAAATAAGGAGTCCTTCGTTGACGGAATAAATAAATAATGTTTATTACCATAAGATTATTCGAAATTTGGTGCGTTTGCACAAAAATTTAAAGAGAACCCAGCTATTCGCGGGCCAAACAAAAATCAGAGATTCGAAAGAATAAGGAGAACGGGATGCCAAATGTGGCCCTGCCCCAATTCGAATTCCCAGTACCCGATAACAATTAGGGAAAGCCTGATAAGCGAACTGCTGCTCGAAACTTGTGTTTATACTTTAAAGTGCTCGCACAAGATCGTTTGTAAACATGGTGTATAAATAATAAATCGGACCCCAAGCCAAACAAACACCATTCATCCTTGGACAAAGCGGAGTGGAACCATAATGTAGGTCATGGAATTTTATGAGAACAGGTTGTCCGATTTGCTGGTGACCCAATTTCAATGGAATCTATGTAGCTTCACTGACGTCAGGCTTTTTTAGGATGTGTTGAAAAGGGTTCTTCATAATATTCAAAAATCTACTATTCTTCTTAGCCTAACTAATTATTTAATCTATTTTTATATTTCTTTTCAGAACACCGATAAACCAAAATAACTAATGGATAATTCTTCGAGCTCGAAATGTAAGTACTCTGCCATCCTAACTGGTTCTATATCATATATCATATAACCATATATGATTCTTGATCCTGGACGCGACTCACCTTTCCGTGGTGGGCTCGGCACAGATCAGCGGCTGCTTCAGCTCGATGGCCTGGCCGTTCTTCTCCTTCAGCTCGCCATTCTCCATATAGTATTGTACCAGTTCCGGCAGTGTTGCGAACTTTTCACCTGCAAAACGAGGGGGAATTCAAAGTGGTAAAAAAGGGGACCCAAGGGAAGGGAAATGGGGCATCACTCACCGCCATAGAGATCAAAGAAGTCGCCATTGTTTTGGATTTTAATGTGGGTCACCTCGTTGCCGCGGCGCACGGAGAGCGTGAAGGCGCCCGGATTCGAGGAGGAGAGGCGGGCGAGGAAGGAGCCGTCGAATCCCTGCTCCTGCAGCAGTTTCTCAGCTTCGATGCCAGATATCGTTGGGTGGAACCATCTGCAGAGGGGGGATAGATATAGATATAGATACAGATACGGATACAAATGTATGTGGTCACTGGTTACTGAACACTGGTTACCCGGTGGGCAAAAGTAGGGGGCAAACATATGGGTGTAGTCATAGTCAACTGTCACTGTTCACTGGGTATATACTATTCGGCATAGTCAATAGTTAGGATATTCCAGTGTTTCCTGCATTAAAAGCAGGTGCTTAAGGTGGGCAGGGTGTCCAGCAGTAGGGTGTCCGCGTTTCGGTCAACAGTCACTGGTTACCGCACTGCTTACTCGGTGGGCAACAGCTGTGGCCGTGCAGCAGTAACGGTTCTGCTGCATCCACTCTGCCCCCCCACACTCCTCCCCCTCTCGTTCGTCACTTTATTGCACTTTTTATCTCAACAGTTCTTTTTTACTTTTTGTTGTTTCTGTTTTTCTTCTTTTTTTCGCTCTGCCTTTGCTTTTGTATCTACTTATACATATGTAAATAGCCCAGTTGGGAGCGGAGCGTGCGTGTGTGTGTGTGTGTGCGACTGCGTGCGTGTGTGTGCGGTACATTGTCGTATTTCCTATTGGATTTACCTTCGCGATGACATTTTCTTATTGAAAGCACACTTAAAAAATAAATAATGGTGACACTTAACGGAAAAAAATGAAACTTATGAGTAGATGCTTTGTTTAAACTTATTTTTACAGTTGGTTGGTTGGATACAAAAAAAAAACTATTTTTTACTGGGCAGTGCGGTGTGGCCAGGCGACTGGAAAAAAAAACTACAAAGTGCCAATCGAAACGGGTGCGGAACCTGGGTGCACGTTTAGCGAGGACCCTAACCATAGATATGCTAGATTTAAAAAATGAAAATACCTTCGCATACCGTTAGTTCCGAAACGTTATGCAACACTTTCTAAGTTTCCGTTACATTAATTGTTCTGAAGGAAAAGTAAACCAGAACCAGGAAATCCAAACCATTCCATATTAACCCTCCCAAACACCAACTGCCAGTAAATAGTTTTTCTTCTTTTTATTCAAGCAATTTAAAAGTTTTTCGGTTTGTCCATTGTACATAGAACTATGTATTTTGTGTTCTCTTTTTACTAATTTATCAAATAAATATAATTTCCATTCTAGGCTGTCATTTATTTGTTTTTCATTCGACTTTAACATGGACTCTTCAAATAATTTACAAATACACGTACAGTTAGGGGATTCCTTCTTAATTTTGTATCATATTATATGATTTATATAGCCTTTGTTTTTGTTTTTTTGTTTTACTTTGCAGAGACCTAAAAAAGTCATATTCCATTTAAAGTTTAGCGTTTTAGTAAATACGTTTTCTTTTGATTTATAAAGCGCGACCATATTTGATATACATTTATATTTTGTATATGGAGTCGTAAACATTTATGCAGTTTCTCTTGTGTGTATTTTGTCTTTTGTCTTTTATATAGGTTCTTGGATTTTTAGGTATGTCTTGCATATCGTTTACTAACAAAGGTACCTAAGATTTGCATTAGATGTGATTCGAATATCTTCTACTTGAAGAGCCGATCAAATGGGTTGGAAATTTCGAACTCCTCTTCGCTTTTCGCCCTTTCAGCTTCTTTTCCATTCGATTTTTGTCTTGTGAGATGTGAAACATGATATAAGTGTGGTTCTTTTTGGACTTGACTTGATGAAACTTCATATAAGTATGTATGCTTTATACTTTTAATTCTCCTTACTCGTTTATCGTTAATCTTTTTAAGTTTGCCTTGTTAGTGTGACTGGTAGCTTAGAAGGTAAAGAAAAAAGATCGATTTATCGTTAATCATAATAAAAAGAAGAGCACTGTGCGCCTGACTGATTTTTAGCTATTTTTTTGTTTATTTTTTTATAGTTATTATTATTAATTGTATATATGCTTGTTTGGTAAAAGTAAATAACACAGCGTTTTCTATGCAAATTAAAATTAAATTTGTGTTTCCTTCATTTACATTAAACAAAACAGAACGCGTTTTATGGCCTCGAAAAACAATAAAAATGTGTAAATTAGGTATAGTAAAAGTAAAACTTAAAGCGAAGCGAAAACAATTACTTCGACTGATTCTTATTCTGATTCTGATGCCCGTCTCAAATGATACAAATTGCACTCGGAACACATTTGGAAACGGCGGATTTCCCGGGGGCCAGACACCTCTTACAATCGAGTTATCAAGTTATATATTACACGCAAGTTACTTATTGTACAAACTAGGGATTGGATTGGCGGCCGAACACACAGATACAGATACAGATACATTTAAGCTGGGCAAACAAAATGCAAGCAATATATGGTTTCCGATCTGCATATTACACACATAGATGAAATATTCGAAGCTTTTGCATTTGCCAGTTGCATTTATCATATACGTAATATTATAAGTTAAGCTTAGTTGGAGTCAGCTGTATAACAATACGAATAATGCTCTTTAGTTTCTGGTTTCTGGGAGAAAGAGAGGCGGCGGCGGAGGATCGGAGAAGTGAGTATTATTGCCATTATTGGGAGGACTGGCTTATTCCCTCCTTAGCGCGCTCTCCGTAAATATTTTATATATCATATATATATATATAGGTGTCTATAGATGTATTACATGTATATTTTGTTGCATATTTTGTTCTATCATTTTGGATCGACCAAAGAAGAGACTTCTGGTGATGGGTAAGACATCCCTGGGGATTCTTTAAACAATAATTTAAAGTACAAACTAATCATTAAATTATGTGTGTTGTGTGTGTGTATGCAATTTGTATATAGATGCACGGCATAATTGTATAAACACAGACAGGGAGATAGAGAAGATAAGCCTCCTTATGTCGGGCAGAGCACCTTCAGGATGTAGTCCGTGAGGAGGGCCGGCACTGTGGGGCTGTCCTCGTTGATGGCCTTGAGAACTGCAGAGGTAAAGTTGGTAGTTAGAAAGCCTTTCAATAGCTCTTAAAGGCTCTACAAATACTCACTCTTGATCAGGACCTGCAGGGACTGATTGTTGGGCGTGCCGTTCTCCAGGTGATACGGAATGACAGTGGTCAAGTACTTGGGCTCGGGACCTGTGATGTGTTATAATTCTACATAAAGATCTTCGGAGGTTTAAACTCTGATTTAAAACCCACCCTGGAACTTGCCGCGCTTCTTCTCCACATGATACTGCCGCCGCTTGTTCTGGACGGCCAGGAGCAGCGAGATGAAGGAGTTCTTCAGCTCCTTCTCGAACTCCAGCTCATCGCGCAGGGCCAGCTCGTTGATGAGGGTCTCGCTCAGCTCCTGGATCAGCACCTCCATCTCCATGTACAGCTCGTTCAGCTGTGTCGTGGTCAGATATTGCAGTTCTGCGGGGAATATTATAATGTAGAATTATATAGCCATAGTCTATATGGTTTACTACTCACTTTCCGCATAGAGGGGCGCTCCCAGGACCTCGCGCGCCTTCTCAATCACCTCCGAATCGCAGTTGTCCGGCTCCTCCAGCGGACTCTCGGCCTCGTCCATGATGTCGTCGATCTCCTTGATCACCTCCTCCACCGTCTTGATCGGCTGGTCGTCCAGATCCCCGTTCAGCCCGTTGAGGATGAGGGCGTGCATGTCCAGGTCATTGGCCACCGCCTCGTCCTCGCTGGCCAAGTCGTTGAACTCGTCGCCGGGAGTCTGGGCATCCAATCCCGATCCCAATCCGTTGCTCTGTGGATACGCCTGGTGGCTCTGGCTCTGCAGCTGCTGCTGCTGGTTGCGCATCTGCTGCTGCTGCTTCGTGTGGCTCTGGCCCAGATTCAGGGTGGGCATGTGCATCTGACGGGTGTACGACTTGGACCAGTCGATGGGCAGAATGTTGCCGAAGTTGCCAGTGATGGTCCACCACATTCTGGAAGGGGAAAGGTTAGGAGGTTTAGGTATTAGATTAGATATCACTAGAAAATAACCAAAGTACCTATAAATTGAAAAATAATCAAAATATATATATTGCTTTTAAAATTTGCTGATTTATAATATTAATAATATTTGTTTTAAATTATAATTTGATTGGTGACCCCGATTTATTTATAAAGGGGAAAGGTAAAAGGTTTAGATATCACCCGAAAATAACCAAAGTACCTATAAATTAAAAAATAATGAAGATATATATTTTTTGTAAAATCTACTAAATTGTTATATTTTTATTTTTTATTATAGTTGGATTGGTGACCCCGATATCAAGATTTTAGCTTAAAGTTTTCTGTTTAAAGCTTCATTAATCTCTATTGAAGCTTAGAACGTTTATAAAAACCTTCAAAACATTGAATCTCGATTTCAAAAACCTTTTTTAACCAGCAAAACGGCTTCTGTAAGTCGCAGAGCTCAAGGCTTTCTTCAAGATTTATGTGGCACGCTGAAAGAAACGCCATTTATTGGAGTGCCTCACTAGCCAGTAATGAGTTTTTTCCTTTCATCATCCTGCCATTCTTTGCACAGTTCTTGGCACCTCTTGGCCACACAATTTCCACGGATTTTCCGCCCGCGGGGAAATGCTCATTTGGACCGACAAATGTTCCATGTACTTGTCGCCACCCACAAAACTGGAGAGCCTGCACTTTATTGGACTTTATGCGAGTGTGGGAAAAACTGGCACAATAAACTAGCAAGTGCTGCACGCTTTTCTTATATTTTCCGTTCATTTCTTTCTGTTTTCTTTTCAGGGCCCAAGCATCTGACAAATCGCCTCTCTGGCAATCATGCACATCGTTTCCGAAGATAATGAGGCAGTTGCAGTTGCATCTCGGATTATGGAGGCAAATGTCAATGGGGAAGTTTCGTATAAACATACAGTCGCACTTCGGTAAGTTGAACTTTTTGAGATCTCTTCTCAAATTAAGAAAATATATACAGTTTTAGGATCCTAGCTATAAGAACCTCAGTTATAAGTTTGAGATTTTCGTTTAATTATCAAAAATTAGACAACTTTAGAGGAACTAATTTACTTTGTACATATTTCACTGTAATCTTCCCCTGGCAATTCCCTTGGCCTTTGGCAATGAGCCCACATAATGTTCAGATAGAGATACAGATTCAGATACAACAGAGTTTGTCAGTCAGACAGTTTGTCTGCTTTGAGTTTGCTGGCACATTTGCTATCAAATTTCATGATCATTGCCAATCATTTAATTGCCCCCCAGCCAGTGGCGGATCTAGGTTTTTGTTGTGGGGGGTGATATCAGAACAATTTATTTTTTGCATACTTTTTGAATAGCAAACTTCCTTTCTTTTTTCTGAGTGGGGGTGAAATATCACCCATTTTACCCTCGTGGATCCGCGTTATGATTTTTATGGTAAAAAAACGAATTATTTTTTTGTAAAAAATTAAAATTTTGATTTTTTGTAAAAATTTGAATTTTTTCCTGTTGGTTTTTTTACTGTAACTCGGCCAAAAATGACCTTACACCAAAAATACATACTGTTTTGAACAGATAACAACATAATAAATAAATCCATGACACTTTCCGGGTGATCTTAGAAAGATACAATTTTCGCCAATTTTCCATTTTTTTATAAGGGGGTACATCATATTTTTTTCCAAAAAATGAAAAAATAAAAAAATTTCTGATTTAAATGCCAACCGTTAGGAAATTTAATAACGAGTTCAGAAAGGTATGACAATCCATACTTTAAATCAATATTTCCATTTTTATGGTCAAAAAACGAATTATTTTTTTTTTTAATATTCCTCTTTTTTTCTCCTGATTGGCGGGTGATATCCCCGTGGATCCGCCCATGCCCCCAGCAGATTTTCCCCATAATTATTCATGCTCTACATTGCCAGGCAATTGACTGCACTTTGCTGATTAGTTGAAGATGAGTCACTTCGAATCGGTGGGTCTATTATTGGGGGGAGAAGAGAAAAGCTAAGTGGAAAACGAGTACCTGAATGGAAATCTTGGTTAAGAAGGCTGGCCAGTAGTTTACCAACCAATATTAGAAAGATCCATTCGACAGTCATCGGAATTCGGTAATATCTATGGATAGTAATCCGTTTTTATGGTGACCCCAAATTCAACGCACCCTTTTGGGTACGTCATTCCATTTCGCACGGAAAGAACAAATATTTTTTATGACAACAATGGAGGTTTATTTTTAAATTCCGCCTCCGTCATTCTTATGGAGCCCTAAAAATTTCGATTTTTCGCTGGAATTTTTTGTGCTTAAATCTACAAAATATGAAATGCAACAATTACAACGATGCGTGGTGGTTGAGGAATGCAGAAGCATTGGCAAATATTGCAAAATAAAAACAAAAACGAGACAACTAAAAAAACACAAGAAACTAAAACAGATGCCAAAAGAAAAACAAAGACAAGTGGAAAATAAAAGCCGAAGAGATGAGAAATGTGCGAAACAAGCAGAGCGCATAAATTGTTCGTGACAACACGCGGGGGGTGCTGATTATTTGGATGATTATGTGCCCAGGGGCGTCGAGGGGGGCGGTGAGAGGGGGGCTCAAGAGGTGGCTGCGTCAGGTAAACGAATATATTCGTACGAACAGTGCGTTTCATAGGCATAGGGCATTTTGAAGACTGTCTTCTAGTCATGATACATTAGTTTAAAAAATGTAATAACCAATTATATGTTCCTATTATTATTCAGAATTTATCTTTATGACTCTCGATTTTTTTATTGGAATATTTATACATATATCATATATATACATATATAGGCCATTAAAATTTTAAATTTTCGACTCTTAGTCATGCATTTTTGATACGCACTGTGCAGTGCACGGGCACACTAATGAATATGTGAATTTGTCTAGTGCAGGGGCTGTATCTCTATCTCAGTTCGGTATGTGTCGAGGCCGCCACATAGTATATACATATATCTGAATACATGCATACTATATGTGTTTCAATGAATGCTCTACGTGTCTGTGATGTGGGCAACACTTTTGGAGCTCACAATGATGTTGTTGGGTTGGTCGCTGGAGATCCGGAGATGAGGAGGCAAAGAGGCAAAGAGGCGGACAGATAACGAATGAATATTTAAACTGCCATCAAAGCGCACTAATTACGGAGCACTCACTCCGGCGGACGAACAACTCTTTCGATTCGGAAAGTAGCCGAGCCCGGACCCGGCTAATCTAACTCGGAAATGGCCGGGTATCAAGTGGATTCGTACGCACTAAAATTGACACATCACCATTTGTGTGTCCAGTCACGGAATTTGGGTCACAGCGGATGAGTGGGCAGCATTCGGGGGTTCAGAACTAATGGGAAATGACCGTGTTTTAATCATATCAAAAATGAATCCCCCTTTATGCTTTTATGACATTTTTAGAAATTAAATATAAGTAATTTCTAGAAATTTAATTTCAATTGGATTTCCTCTTTTATGAGGAACCTCCTTAGCTTCTTTGTTCCCATCTTCTTGTTCTTCTGAGGGCCTTCATCTCCACACAACTCATTTCCTTATCGCTGACAAGCAATTCAGATTGCGGCTACTGCCCCCATTCATTCCACATTCCACAAATTTCCATCATCGACTTGGCCAATTAGTCCGCAGACTTCTCCACACTGTCCGCACCCCTCGGCGATTATAATTACGAGCCTCATATATTATGAAGATGCGATCTGCCCACCGACCACTTATCATAAACTGAACTCTTTTCGGGAGCCGCTTATCTGTTGGCGACCCTGACAATCGAATGCTAGGAATGGTGCCACATGTTCAAATGTCCGACAATTAGCAGTTTTAGTCTCGAAAAACGCCCCACGAAACATGAGCTCATCACTTGGACAAATAAACATCATATTTAATAACGAAAAAATGAAAATGGGCAGGGCGAAAATGCCCCAAGAACCGAAGGCTCAAATACTCTTTTTGATATGCGAAAATGTATATGTGATCTTAAGACGATCTTAAGATCAATGTTGCAAGAAAAATATAAATACTAAAATATTTGATATTAACTGATGATCTTAAAAAAGTTATAATAACCACTTGCTTAGGGTAAATCAACAGCAATGAAATGACAACAGAAAACCACAAATTTTCGTTGATGGAAATTTATGATGGAAATGGTTATATTTTAATGAATTTTAATTGTGTGCACTTAGATAACCAAATAAATTTGTGTCTCCGGGAGATGAATCAGCGCCGCACAAATTAGCCAACCAACCGATCATGATGACGTCCAAGGCGATGATGATGGTGGTGGTACACTCATAGAAATTTTTACCCTAAATCGCCCTAAAAAACTGACTTTTCGCCCGTGGATTTAGAAAATCGCCCATAAATCGTATCCGCTGGCGATTCGCCCGTGTATTTAGAAAAATTTTCTAAAAAATCCCGATGGAAATTTGGTTTAATTTAGGGTGATTTTTCTTGAAATAAGAAATATTTTCCTGTTTTTAGGGTGATTTGCCCTAATTTTAAGGTGTATTTTTCTAAAATTAAGGGCGAATTTTCTGATTTTATAGGCAAATGCCCTAAAAAATTAGACAAATTAAAAAAAATCGTGTTTGAGCATGCTTAACTGAATTTGGGAAGCATGTTTTTTTTTTAATCGTCTATATTCTGGGACTGCTGCTTTAATTAAACAACACCGTCGGAGGACACCGTTTCATATTATTGTATTGGTGTGTAGCTTATATAGGAGCTGCGTTAAGAGGGGGGCCCGATCTATACAACACAGCCGATAGAACTGAAAAATCATGTTTGTAAACGAATTAGGGAAATAAATATGAGGAGAAAAAACAACTTACTTTTTTTGGTCGTTGCGAGAATCGAACCCACGACCTCTCGGTTTAGAGTCTAGCGTCCTACCGCTGCACCACAGACCCATCGCGCAAGACAACGAACAAACTCTGCAGACATCTTATTTTCTTGAGGTCTACG